CGGCAAAAAAGTAAACCTCATCGCTGGCAATATTCTGCATGCCCGGGTTTTCCTCCTTGTTGTTATCGTAGTAAAGCATCACCAAGTCATCGCTTTGAAAGCGACCGGGAAATAAAAAGGCCGGTTTGCGGGTTAAATCCGGTGGGTCTACCGCCACGGTGAGGTCATCGCTTTTCCGATCCGGGTCACCGTATCCACCGCCATCTTTAGGCTTTACCAAAAACTTAATGTCCTTGTCGTAAACCTCCTGGGCGGTTACCTCGTAAAACTCGGTAGGTATGATGGTCCAACTGTAAAGGCCACCGCCTTCGTCAACCATTTTTAGGGTGTCATTACTGTTTTTCCAGGCCTCAGCGCCCAAACCGTTGTGCAAGGGATGTCCTTTGGGGTGCTCCTTTGGGCTCCAGGTCCAGATGTAGAGATCCATGCCGGCCTCGGCATCTTCAATAAGGTTTTGCACGTAATCTTGTGATTGATCAAGCGCATAAATATCAACGGTTATTTTCAGGGTCGCCTCAGGGTCAATCTCATCGGCCTTAGCCGGCTCTGTTGTAACCTGGGCTTGCAATACTGAAATGCCAATCAGAGCCAGTAAACTAAAATATATTTTCAATGCTTTCATTACTGTGCGTTTACTCGGTTAAACGAATAGATGTATAGGGCATAAACTTTTTCGCATGAGCTACGGGTGTTCACCAGCTCCATTTGCTGGTCTATTGACCGCACCATGTTTCCCAAATCCAGCGTAACCTCATCCAGGTCTGCATCCGATGGGGTAATGGTAATCTGGGTGGGGTAATTGGGGTCGTTAAAACTGTAAAAGCCTCCGCTGCCAAAAGGGTGCCCGGCCGTTCCCCCATCTACCAGGTAGCTCTCGGTACTGGCGTCAAAGCTTATACTCACCGTCTGTCCATCAAAAAACTCGGTAACATCTTTGGTTTCAAAAGCGGGGAAGCTGCGATCTTCAAGTTCTACTTTGGTCAGTAACCAGCTGCCGTCTATTCCCTTGTTTAAGTCGTAGCTTCCACTGGGCTCTTTAAAAGGCTCAGGACTACACGCCACCAGTGCAGCCAGGGCCAAAATTGCTAGTATTTTCGTTTTCATATGCACTAATTTAGTGATTAGCATCCGCCTTGCGGATTCATTTCAAACAATTCGGTACGCTCTACGGCCGGAAATTGCAGAATCATGCCATCGCAGTCCCACGGAGCATCTCTTATAATTATGTTTTCGCCTTCAATGGCGCCTCTTCTCTTTAATTGCTGCACGCGGTCGCCCTCGCCAAACATTTCAATTCTGCGCTCTTTGCGGATGGCGTCCAGTACCTGAGCGGCCGGCAGGCCCGGGCCAAGGTTCTGGCTGCTGTTTCCGTAGGCGCGTTCGCGGATGTCGTTCACGTCATCAATTGCCGTGTTTATGTTCTGATTGAGCAGAACCAGGCATTCTGCGCGAAGCAGTTTCAAATCGGTTAAATGCAAAACGGGTACGTCAAAAAACACCTTGTTAAACTTTTTTACCGCCACGTACTCCTCGGGGGTACCGGGCTCCCTTACTTCAAAAAATCGGGTAAGGCGCGCGTCCAGGGTGTCGTTTTCGTATTCCGCATAAAACTCCGCGGAAGCGCGTAAAAACGGAGGCTGCGGCACATCTGAGCGGTAATTGTCGGTAAACCCGCGGCTTCGGTAATCGTTGGTAGCTTCAAAACTACGCGTGCGGTATATGATTTCCGGAATGTTTACCGAGTTGGGCTGAAAGCGATCTATAATAGTATCCAGGCGGTAACGCCCCGAGTTAATTACCAGCTCTGCCTGCGCCAGGGCATTGGCGTAATCGCCTTTCTGAAAATACACCTTGGCCAGCCAGGTTCTGGCAGCGTCTTCGGTTATGCGGTAAATATTGTTGTTGGGCAGGCTTCCGCTGTTAATGGCGTTTTCCAAATCAGCAATTATTTGATCGTAAACGGCCGCCACCGATTCGCGAGGCAATACCTCTACCTGCGTGCTGGTTTTATACACGATGCCGTTGTGGCTATTGTTGGCGGAATAGCCGTAGGGCTGTGCCCATAGTTTTAGCACCTCAAAGTGGCTAGCCGCCCGCATTACGTCTAGCTGCGCCCGAACTTCGGCTTTTTCCTGTTCTGAAAAATCAAATTCTTCCAAAAACTCGTCAATGCGGTTGGCGCGAAAAACGGTTATGTAGGGGTCTTTGTACACGCCATCAACGGTGCCATTAAAAATGGAAACGTTGCGGTTGTAAATTTGTCCCAGGTCGCCCGATTCGTTCTGCATGGCAATATCATCGGCCAACAATTCATTGCAATATTGAATGCGGCCGTTGTATATATTGGCCAAAACATCATAGCAGGAATTCACTACTTCCAGCACGTCTTCCTTGCTGGTAATAGCGTCTGCCTCGCGCAACTGATTTGCAGGCGGATCTGTTTTCAACAACTTAGTACAGGCGCCCGTACCAAAGGCAACGATCAAGATTGTGAGGTATTTTAATAGTTTCATCGATCGCATATTTAAAAGTTAGCGGATAATCTTATTGAATATGTCTTTTCCTGAGGGGCCGTTAGATAGGTGGTGTTTAAACTCATGTTTCTATCGGTAACATTTGTAAAATCACGCGCTACTTCGGGGTCAAGCCCTCTAAAGTTGGTGAAGGTTAGCAGGTTGGTACCGATGGCTGAAACCTCCAGGCTTTTCAAGCCCAGCTTTTTGGCAAAATCCTTTTTAACGCGGTAACCGATGGTGACGTTACGCAGGCGCAAATAGCTCGCATCACTTACCCAAAGGCTCGTATTCCAAAAGTCCTCATCCAAACCTTCGTATGAGTTTCTATCCAGGGTAAGGCGTGGCAAACGCGCCTGGTCTCCAGGTTCCGTCCAACGATCGTATACCGCTGGGGTGTAGTTCCAGTAATTTCCAAAAACCGCCCAGCCGGTTTGTTGATACTTGCCGGAATGGTCGTATACATCAGCTCCAATGCTAAATACAAACATGGTACTCAAGGTCCAGTTTTCATAGGTGAAGGTATTGGTTAAGCCGCCAATGGCATCGGGTATTCCGTTGCCCACGGGCACGCGGTTGGCCTGATCGTACACTTTGGTTTCCTCACCCGAAGGGCTACGGTAAACGGGATCACCTGTGGCGGGATCTACACGAGCCACTTCTACCATGTAGAAAGTACCCAAAGATGCTCCTTCAACAATTCGGGTATCATTTGTACCCCCAGCCACGGCATCTTCAGAATAGCCGCCCAAGCTCAGAATGCGATTGCGGTTAAAGGCAATGTTGAAATCGGTTTTCCAACGAAATTTGCCGGTAAGATTGTGTGTGGTAAGCTGGAACTCCAGCCCGTAATTCAGAATTTGGCCTACATTGTCGTAGTAGGTATCAAAGCCATTGATCCGCGGCAGCGACACCTGCATGAGTACATCGCGGGTGTTTTTCCTGTAGTAAGCCAGCTCACCGGTAATCCGGTCTTCAAACAGGCCAAATTCCAAAGCCACATCCACCACCTCGGTGTTTTCCCACTTTAAGTTTCTGTTGGGCGGGTTAATGGGGTAGCGAATGGGTTGGTTGTTGTAACCGGCATTGTTTACCTGGTACAGCGCTTCAAATTGGTTTTGCTGAATATTGGCGTTGCCAATATAGCCCATGCTTCCCCTTAGTTTCAGGTAGTTGATTACGCTGCTGTGCTTCAGCCATGATTCATCCGAAATTACCCAGCCCAGGCCAAGCGATGGAAAAAACCCGTACACGTTATCCGGACCAAATGACGAGCTGCCATCTGCGCGAAGCACCAATTGAGCAAGGTATTTGCGCTTGTAGTTGTAGTTGATACGACCAAAGTAGCTGGCAAAGATTCGCTCCGATTCGGTTCTTACCGAATCAAAAGCAATGGTGTCGCGCAGGTCGTCATCATCAAAGAATGGCCCACGCGCGTCAAATACTTCGTTGGTGGCCTGCACGGTAGAGTCGTTGATAGGGCGCAGCCATTGGCTCACCTCCGACCTTTGGTTCACATACTCGGTACCCACCATAAAATTAAAGTGATGGTTTTCGTCCAAATCGTAGAGGTAGTTAGCGGTAAAGTGTGTGTTGTAATTGAAAGACTGACGCGGGTAGCGCTTGGCAATGCCCTGGCCCAGGTTGGGGTCGGCATTGATGTATGAATTCCCGCCAACTGGCTCGTAGAGGTCTTCCCTCAGGTTGGAGTAATCAAAGCTGGCATTGGCATTAAACGACAAGTTTTCAGTGGCTTCATAGCTTAGGCGAACATTGTTAATAGATCGGAGCTCAGTGCTGCGCCATTGTTTCAAATTACGCAATCCGGTGGGATTATTATTTGCTCCTGCTTCAAACCAGTAATCGCCTTTGCGGTGCGTTAAAATTGAGTCTCCGGGATTTTCTGGGTCGGGCATATACACGTCCTGGTCATAGCGCACGGGAAAAATGGGAAGGGCAGAAGACATGGCTGCCCCGAGTCCTCCGGCCGGTCCGTTATCCACCCGGAAGTAAGTGCCTTGCACCAGGTTGGTGCTCAGGCCCGCTGAGAATTTATCGTTAAAGCGGTAGTCGCCATTAAAGCGGCCACTTAAACGATCGTATTGATCGCCCTTGAGGTAACTTTGGTTGGCATCATAAGAAATGCCTGCGTAAAAATTAAACCGCTCGGTGGCCTTATCTACGCCAAAGTCATAAAATTGCTTGTAGCCGGTACGAATTACTTCGTCTACCCAATCGGTGTTGTATTTATCGGCTTCGTCCCAACTTATTTGGGCCGGCAACCCGGTAGGCTTCCCTACGTTGCCATCGTTAATCCAGGCTTCTTCGTACAAATCAAGCCACTCCTGTGAGCTTAACATTTCCGGGCGCTTGGTGGGCATAGAAACCCCTTGCGTGGTGGAAAAGCTATAGTTGAGCTTATTGCTGCTGCCCCTGCGGGTGGTAATTAATATAACCCCGTTGGCCCCGCGTGACCCATAAATGGCGGTTGCGGCTGCGTCTTTTAGTATTTCTACCGACTCAATATCGTCCGGATTCAGAAAAGCCAAAGGATTTTGGTTCATGCCGCCAGCATCGCCTCTGCCCAGGCCTGATCCACGAAAGTAATCCTGGTCAATTTGCACCCCGTCCACAATGTAAAGCGGGTCTCCCCCGCCCCCAACCGAGGCAATTCCGCGAATGCGCACTACTGAGTTTGAGCCCGCCATACCGCCACTGGTGGCTATTTGTACACCGGGTGCTTTCCCCTGCAGGGCCGCTTCAAAACTGGGCGCTGGCATGTCGCGAACTTCTTTTCCTTCCAAACTGACAATATTGCCCGTTACATCGCGCTTGCGCTGAACGCCATACCCCACTATTACTACTTCATCGAGCCGGTCGTCAGCCGGTTCCAGGGTGATGGTTATTTTTTTGGTTTCCCCTTGTTTAACCCTTACCGTTTTGTTTTGGGCCGCGTAACCAATATAGGATATCCGCAATTTTACGGCACCGGGATTAAAACCTTTCAGGGTGAAGTTTCCGTCAAAGTCGGTGGCCGTTCCCACGCCTTCTTGGCCTTGCACCACCACCGAAGCTCCGGGCAATGATTCACCATCCTGGTCTATTACTTTTCCTTTGATAATCTGCGCTGCAGCTGGAAAGGCCCAACTTATGCAAAGCATCAAAAAAACAGAGAATAACAATCTTTTCATACGGTGCCTGTTTGATTAGGAAAAATCAAATGTAGATAAAAATTTGACTTAGTGTATTTTTTACACATTTTTTAAAAACCACAGTTTAGGAGTCCTTTAAGAAAAAATGAGTTAAAGTTTTTCTGAGTTTACCCTGTAAAGCCGGGCTGGCTTGTGCAACACTCCTTCCTGTTTTTGATCAGTGGCTTTTACCAATTGCTCTTTCAGGATTTTTTTTCTGAAATTTCTTTTGTCCAATGGTTTTCCCAGAATAATTTCATAGAGTTTTTGCACCTGCCCCAGGGTGAATTTTTTGGGCAGAAGCTCAAAACCGGTTTTGGCTTGAATAAAATCAACTCTGAGTTTTTCAAGCGCCTGTTCAAATATGCTGGTGTGGTCAAAAGCCAGGGGTGGGATGCTTTCCACGTCTTGCCAAAAAACGCGGTCGGCAAATGAAGAAGCCTCCGGTTTAAAGTTGTCCATTTTCACCAAGGCGAGGTAGGCAATGGTTATTACCCGTGCCTGCGGATGCTCCCGGTAGCTGTTCAAAAATTCAAGGTCTTTAATATCGCTTACGCGGAATGGGTCGCCAAAAGCTTTAAACTGCTTGAGAAAAATGCCCTCCAGCCCGGAAATTTCCTTGAGCACACGACTGGCCGCTGCATCAAGGCCTTCGTTGTTGTGGATTAAGTCGCCCGGTAGCGCGTATTGCCGCTTTTCAATTTCGGGAAGTTTTTGCTCAATGAGCAATACGTTTAGTTTTTCGTTATCAAAACCAAAAACTACGCAATCCACTGATATATTTGGGTTAATGTTTGCCGAACCGCTCACAAGAATGAAAGTTTAATGGCGGGCAAGGTAACAGTTTTATCTAAAAAGTGTAAAAAATACAAATAAGGTGTATTTTTTACACTAAGTTTGCTATTCACCATTGTTTATGTCAGAGAAAATTAAAAGCATAGGGGTGTTAACATCTGGCGGAGACGCCCCGGGAATGAACGCGGCCATTAGAGCGGTAGTAAGAAGCGCCCAGTACTACGATAAAAAGGTATTTGGAATATTCGAAGGTTACCAGGGTTTAATAAACGGTGACATTCAGAGCCTGACTTCGCGTTCGGTGAAAAACATCCTTAGCCGGGGCGGTACTTTTTTAAAGTCATCGCGCAGCGAAGAGTTTAAAACCCTGGAGGGGCGCCAAAAGGCCTTTCGCAACTTAAAGGCAAACGGAGTTGATGCACTGGTTTTAATCGGGGGCAACGGCACCTTTACCGGTGGCATGTATTTTAGTGAAGAACATGATATTCCGGTATTGGGTATACCCGGTACCATTGACAATGATCTTTACGGCACAGACTTTACCCTGGGCTTTGACTCGGCCACCAACGTGGTTATTGATGCCGTTGATAAAATCAGAGACACGGCCGAAAGCCACAATCGCTTGTTTTTTGTGGAGGTAATGGGCCGCGACTCGGGCTTCATTGCGCTGCGCACGGGTTTGGCATCGGGCGCACTTGACGTTGTGCTTCCGGAAGAAGAGAACCCCTGGGAAGATTTAGTATCAGAACTCAAGCGCGGGGAGAGCAACCGCAAAACCAATAAGCTCATTATCGTTTCGGAAGGAAACAAACTGGGTTCAACCATGGAAATTGCCGAGAAAGTACGAGCGGTTTTCCCGCACGTAGAATCGAAAGTGACCATACTGGGCCACTTGCAGCGGGGCGGCTCTCCCACTTGCTTTGATCGAATACTGGCCAGCCAACTGGGCGTGGCAGCCGTAGAAAGACTGCTGGCCGGGCACAGTGGCGAAATGGCCGGCATTGTTGACAACAAATTGGTTTACACGCCTTTTAAGCAAGCCATAAGCAAAACCGCCTCCATTGATCTGGAACTCATTCGCATGAGCAAAATACTAGCAACTT